TTATTTGGAGGGGCTTTATTATTGATTCAATCTCTGTCTTGATTATTGGTCTTTTTTGGCTTCCTACATCTTCATGAATCAATTTTGGTAGATTGTATGTGTCTAGAAATGAATCCATTTCTAGATTTCCCAATGTGTTGGAATATAGCTGTTGTAATTACTGATGATTCTTTTTATTTAAGTGGTATCTGTTGTTACATCTACCTTTTCAGCTCTGATTTTATTGTTTTATTTTATTTTATTTATTATTTAATTATTTTATTTATATTATTTTATTTTATTCTCTCCCCCCCTTTTTTTTGTTTGGGACAATAGTGTATCAGTTTTGTTTATTTCTTCAAAAAAAACAGCTCTTCATTTCACTGATATTTTGTACTTTTTTTGTTTTCAATTTTGCTTTCTTATCTAATTTTAATTTTTCTTTCATCCTACTAATTTGGGGTTTGGTTTGTTATTGTTTTTCTAGGTCCTTGAGTTGCATTGATTCATCCTTTATTTGATGCCTGTATAATTTCTTGACAGACAGTAATTGGTCTCAACTTTCCTCTTACCACTGCTTTTGCAATATCCCATAAGTTTTTTTTTTTTTTTTTTACTTGAAAGAGCTACAGAGAGAGGTAGAGCCAGAGGGAGAGAAAGAGAGGTCTTGCATCTGCTGGTTCACTCCCCAAATTGCCACAATGGCCAGACCCAAGCTGATCCGAAACCAGGAGCCCGGAAGTTCTTCCTGGTCTCCCACACAGGTGCAGGGGCCCAAGCACTTGTTCCAGGCCACAGCAGAGAGCTGAATCAGAAGTGGAGCAGCCAGGACTTGAACCATTTCTCATATGGAATGCTGGCACTGCAGGCTGGGGCTTTAACCTGCTACTCCACAGCTTTGACCCCTCCCATAAGTTTTGATATAGTGTATTGTCATCTTCATTCATTTCCAGGAATTTCCTTATTTCCCTTTTGATTTATTCTATTATTGACTGTTCATTCAGTGGCCTGTTGTTCAGTCTCCTTGTGTTTGTATATTTTCTGGAAATTCTTAGGTTGTGAATTTCCAGTTTTGTTCCATTGTGGTCTAAAAAGATACATGGTATGATTTCAATTTTTTTGAATTTGATGAGACTGTCTTTATGGTCTTGTGTATGGTCTATAATAGAGAAAGGTCCACACACAGATGAAAAGAATTTATATTGTTGAACTGTGGGATGAAATGTTCTGTAGATATAAGTTGGATCCACAGTGGCAATTAGTTCTGTTGTTTCTTTGTTGATTTTCTGTCTAGTTGGTCTGTCCTTTCATGAAAGAGTGGTATTGAAGTCTCTCATTAATACTGTATTGGAATCTGTGTCTCCTTTTAGATCCATTAACATTTATTTTAAATAGCCAAATGCCAGGCCATTGGGTGTACATACATTTATTATAGTCACCTCTTGTTGAATTGATCCCTCAATCATTATATAATGCCCTTCTTTGTCTCTTTGAACAGCTTTTGTGTCTATTTTTTTTATATTAGGATGGCTATTTTTTTGATCTTAGGATGGCTACTCCTGCTAGTTTTTGCTTGCTATCCATTAGCATGGAATACCTTTTTCCATCCTTTTACCTGCTACTCTGCTCATGATCTAGCTTCCTGCTATTGCTCTTTCTGGGAGATAGTATGTTAATAGTTCAGGTACTTGAGTCTCTGCCACCTACATGGGTAACCTGAATGGAATTCCTGGCTCCTAGGCTAACCCTGGCTAACCCTGACTGTTGCAGGTATTTAAGAAGTGAATCAGTGGATGGAAGATTTCTTTCTCCCTGTGTCTCTTTCTCTCTCTGTGGCTCTGTCTTTTGAATTAATTTTTTTTAAATATATAAGAAAAAGATGAACTATTACAGAAGAAATAGTTGGAGATGATAGATTTTTTAAATTCATTGTTTTGTTTAAAAGTAGCTTAATCTCTGTGTAAAGCCACAGATAATATCCCCCTGCTTGTTAGATTTGCATAGCAGGGACCTCTTACCTTAAGGACTTAGGACAGACTATTACAGCTATGCTTACTACCCTGCTCAAATTGTAATCCCTGCTAAACAAAATCAATTCTTATCATATTGTGATTTTAGTCTTAGACTCTGCTATCAGTAATCTTTTTGAAATTTTCTTTTACTTTGAGATACTCATTCGTTTTGTGATTTTTTTATGGTATCTTTTAAATGTAATATTGTCACAATAATGTATCTTTATTTTTCTACCTCTTTTGGACCTAAGTCTAGATTTTTTTGTCATTTAAACATAAACCAAGTCAAAGCTGTGTTTGGCTTGTTTTTTCCTACTTATATCTAGTCATTTTCTTTTACCCTTTCATTCATCATTTGGTTGCTAGTTACTCTATCATCCAGCTCCCCAGACACCAAGATTCACAAGATTAGCCAGGAAGTTTGAGATATTTATGAAAATGCTTCGTTAATTCAAAAATGCTGTGTGAATATCTTTTTGTTAGTTTAGACTGACCCTGATTAAAATGTGAGACCCTCTTTATGAATGAGTATTACTTTCCCTAGTGGGATGTTAACAATATTCCTGAAGACAGTTGAAACCACAAAAATAGCACAGCACTGAAAAGCCAGTGTGTTCTCAAAGATTTGGTGAGGGGTTAATGCTCTTAATATTCTCATGTGCTCTAAATATTCTCATTCATCATCCTAAATTGTAATGATAAAACCTCAGAATCAACTACACCTTTTTTCTTTAGCTTACGTTTCCAGACTTGCTCTGTATTCTGTCAAAATTCTAAATGATAACTTAGTTTTTGTTTCCCAAATGAGTTCAGCATATATTTACTGAGTACTACATGTAAGACAAACCTAAGGGAAATAAAGATGAATAAAACAAAATCATGTATAGCTACATCATAATCCAACTATTGAAAATCACAGATAAATGGCAAGTCTTGAAGTATCACAGAAAAGTGCTATATGACACAAAATTATTGAACCTAGATTTGATCAATACCTTTTTATAAGACAGTATGAAGGACAGAAAAGTCACATATTTACATTGTAAAAATAAAAAAGAAATTTAACCAAGAACTATAAATCCAGCAAAAATGACTCATTTTCTCTTTTATTTCAACAAATTTTAAACCAGTTGTTTTTGGAGCAGTAGAACTTTGAGATATCAAATGGTCTTGTTAGACTTTCCTGTTTGTTAACTTTTTGATGATATCCTATTTGTACAAAACTTAAAAACACTAAAATCTGGAGGTTGCTTTTAGTCTTAGAATTGGTGGCGATTGTCACACTACAGTTTTTCTTGTAACAAAGTCACTTGTCATTGACTACATGTACTTCCTCTTAAGTGGCTTTGATTGCCATAATGTTTCAGTACAACCTGTATGATAAAAGTTGAACATTTATCCCCAAATTTCTTCCCTTATTTCTTTTTATTTATTTATTTATTTATTTATTTTTGACAGGCAGAGTGGACAGTGAGAGAGAGAGACAGAGAGAAAGGTCTTTCTTTGCCGTTGGTTCACCCTCCAGTGGCCACCGCGGCCAGCGCGCTGCGGCCGGCACACCGCGCTGATCTGAAGCCAGGAGCCAGGTGCTTCTCCTTGTCTCCCATGGGGTGCAGGGCCCAAACACTTGGTCCATCCTCCACTGCACTCCCTGGCCACAGCAGAGAGCTGGCCTGGAAGAGGGGCAATCAGGACAGAATCCGGTGCCCCGACCGGGACTAGAACCCGGTGTGCCGGTGCCGCAAGGCAGAGGATTAGCCTAGTGGGCCGCGGTGCCAGCCCTTATTTCTTTTAAAATTTGGAAAATATGAATTCTTTGTTAGCAGCTTTCTTCTTTGTAAATAAAGATGTTTAAGCTTTGTGTCAACGTTTGACACTTTAAACATACAATATACTTGTTGAATTTCATACTTTTTAATGGAATCAATTTAAAAAGTAATGATTTGGTTTAATGGTTAAAAGAATCACAAGTAGTGACAATAAAAACAGCATCGTTTCTTTAAGTGTATAAACTTTATGCACTTAGAAGTCTATGCAATCTGCTTTCTTTGGCTTACATTCTCGATTTATCAGTACTAATTGTTTAAGAAAAAGCAAGATAATCTTCAGAAATTTGATTGCCAATAAAGTTATTTTAGAGAGAAGCTTATTCATAATTATAAGTGACAAAATAAATAGAACTAAATTTTTCAAAGACCTTTTGGAGATATATAGCCATTAGATTATTTTTAAACTGAAATAGCTAGAATCTAATATTTGCGACATTGTTACACAGAAAAGCAGAAGAAAACTGTATACTCAAATACTGTTTTATATCAAGTAAGGGTTGACAACACTGTTTTTATGCATCTGTTCTGCCCACATAAGAAGCCAGCTTCATCATCTGGATGTGTCCTGGGGCTGAAACTTCTTATAAATATGAGAATTTCACTTTTTAAAAAAATGGCAAACAGAATATGGTATCCAGCTGTGGATTTGCTTATATATTGTGTTTGCGTTTTTTTTTTTTAACTTGGGCTTGTTTTATACAGTATATGGCAATAAGTTGTCATACAAATTCCATGATTAATGCTTATTTATGAAGTCTTGTGTAAATATCTTAGAACTCAGTCAAACAATGTGCAAGTTAAACAGTTTTTTTCCCCTGAATATTGGAATGACATATCCCAAGGGAATAGTAGATTGGCTATGTTCTTTATCTATGTAAGCCTCATATGTAAGAGTTTCCTTTTAGTATTTTATGTTATATCATTCTTTCTCAGTTTGTTTTGCTAAGAAAGCAACCTAGTTTCAAATTTATTACTCAGAAAAATAGAAAAATTGTTTGGAAATTATTCAGAAATAAGGGTGGTAATTATTTCTTATTGCACCAAATAAATACATATAGTAACACTTTTTTGTTTTATAATTTTGATTCTATTCTCTATTTAGGAGGCATTTGTATTTGTTCTCTTGTTCATATATTGAAGTGTTCCATTATAATCTGTGTTTATATTACCATGTTTTTAACCCACAAAAGTGCTTACGTGATTGTAAAATATCTCACTGTAAATATGAGGGAGACTTCAGGTATGAATAAGTAATGATCAGTGAAATACTACATTTGTATGTGTGTATTCTTGTTTCCCCAGACTACTTTACTTTCTCATATGTAGTATTTTAGTGTGTTGTGACTAGAAGTTGAAAACCTTCTTTCTTCTTTTTCTCTTACACTCAGGTCCAGCTCTTCTATGAGCTAACTGATACCATGAATAAGGTCTGGAATAAGATTCAGAAGAGAGGCAATCTCAATCTTTCTTCAACCTATCCAGAGACAATTGCCGGGCCTGTCCCTAATTCTCCAGTTAGAAGCAGTGTAGGCACAGCTCCTCCGGATACTAGCACATGCAGCCCATCTGCTGACATTGGAACTACTACTGAGGTAAGTGTTTTTGAAAGATTTTGTTACCAAGTGAAGGGTGATACATACATAACACAGAGTTCCCTATGGTGACTGTGAATGAAGATGACCTCACCACTCTGGAAGCTGTCAGATTTAGAAGACGCATTAAAGAGCTGTGGTAGCTTTGAGTGTGTATTGCTGTTCCAATTTTAGGTACATCATTTTTTTAATGATTTATTTGTATTTATTTGAAAGCCAGAATTACAGAGAGAGATCTTCCATCTGCTGGTTTACTCTCTAAATGGCTGCAACGGCCAGGGCTAAGCCAGATCAAAGCTAGGAACTTGGAAATACATTGAGGTCTACCTTCTGGGTGGTACAGGGCCAAAGTACTGGTGCCATCTTCGGCTGCTTTCCCAGGCACATTAGCAAGGAGCTGGATGCGAAGTAGGGCAGCCAGTACCTGAACTGACACTCAAATGAGATGCCAGCATCCTAGACAATGGGTTAACCAGCTAGCCATAGGTATAATGTTTTTATCACTGTGAGTTGATTGTAGTAGTTCAGAACAGTACAGCTCTGTAGAATGTTAAAAACTGAGACACAGTAAAGGTACATTTCCTTATAGGTGTGGAAATATCTAAAGTAAGTGAAAAAGAGATTTATGTTTCTCCTTTATCTCTTTGCTTCTCCTCTTTTTTGAACCTCAGTATTGTTATTGCCTTTAGTTAACAACAGTTACCAACCCTGCCAGATGCAATGCATTCTCCTTCTTTCTTACCCAACCTTAACTTCACCCAGCAAACCAGTGCGCCTTCATTTAACAAAGACTGCATAGCACCCTCTCTGCTATACTGAAATGAAATAATTGCATATATTTATAATTTTAAAAATGTATAATTTTATTCATTAATTTTGAAAGTCTGAGATACACACATGCACAACACACACACACACAGACCTTCCATTCACTGATATACTCCACAAATACAAGTGACAGCTAGGGCTTGACCAGACCAAAGCTAGGAGCCAAGAACTCCATCCAAGTCTCACACATGTTGGCAAGGACATAAGTACTTGAACTATCACCAGCTGCCTCACTGGGTATGCATTAACAGGAATCTGTAATCTGAAGTGAACCCAGGCACCCCAGTATAGGATACAGGTGTCCCAAGTGGCATCTTAACCATTGTGCCACATCCTCAACCCCAGTCTTTTAAATAAAATATAAGGGATAAATAAAAAAAATTCTTTTAAGGTACAATAATTTGTATTACATTGTTTAATTGGGTTGGCATGGCCACAATAGAAGCCCCAGTGGAATAGTCAGGTTCATGAATTACTCTGAATGTGATGTCCATGAATAGGCTGTACAGGTCTGCTAAATAGCATACGTGGTATTGCTGTTGATGCTATACTTCTCTGAAATAGTAACAAAACTCTTAATATAGTTTCAAACAAAATATCATTCAAGGCCGGCACCGCGGCTCAATAGGCTGATCTTCCACCTCGCGGCGCCGGCACACCAGGTTCTAGTCCTGGTCGGGGCACCGGATTCTGTCCCGGTTGCCCCTCTTCCAGGCCAGCTCTCTCCTGTGGCCAGGGAGTGCAGTGGAGGATGGCCCAAGTGCTTGGGCCCTGCACCCCATGGGAGACCAGGATAAGTACCTGGCTCCTGCCTTCGGATCAGCGCGGTGCGCCCGCCGCAGCGCCCATTGGAGGGTGAACCAACTGCAAAAGGAAGACCTTTTTCTCTGTCTCTCTCTCTTACTGTCCACTCTGCCTGTCAAAAAAAATCATTCAAGCTTCCATTTCAGTTCAGTAGTTGTCTTGTGGAATCTCTTAGTGTTGAAATCATGCAAAATTAAAAAACAGAATTGCTGGGGATGGCATGGTGGTGCAGCAGGTTACCCATCACTTGTAGTGCTTCCATCCTGCATTGGAGTGCTGTTTAGAATTCTTGGCATTCTGCTTCTGATCCAACTTCCTGCTAATGGACTTGGAAAGACAGTGGAAGATAGCTCAAGTACTTGGGTCCCTGCCACATGCATAGGATACCAACTGCTGTTGCACTTGGGGAGTGAACCAGTGGATGGAAGATGCATCTCTCTCTCTCTCTCTTTTTCTCTCTCGTCCCCATTCCCCACCCCCTTTTTTGTCACTCTGGTTTTCAAATAAATAAATTTTTTTTAAAAATCATTTTGTATTTAGATCTGAAATGGATTTTTGCCCATATATTTTTGAATAGGATTTTCATCAAATTGAATATTTCTAGGACAGTCTATTTTCACAGACTGCCCTATTCTGCACAAGACCTCTTGAATCATCCTTAACTCCTAATCCTCAAATGCCAGTAGTGATACTAAATCATTGAGTCAACCAAAATATCCTCATTTGTTTCCAAAACACCCCTTAGAAGGCTGAAGTTTCTCCTTGGAGATAAACTTCTCAGTAGTAGATTGAGGCAGAAGTTGTGTTTTTGTTTCTGCGTGGGTAAAGACACCTTTTCCTCTAAATACAAAACCATCGGCAAACTATAGATTGGGAAAAACATGAAAGAAGATGTTCATTTCTATTGTCTTCAAATCAGTAAAAGCAAACCAGTTCAATTAAAAGGGCAAATTTCACCTATTAGGCTATTAAGCACGTTCAAGTAGATCTGTTTAACCCCTTGCTTTAGCAACTTCTCTAGCCCTCCTCATTTCAAATCTTAAGAAATATAGTAATCTACATGTTGGTATATCTTTGTTTCTTTTTCCAAATGAAGAAAATATAGAAATCTAAAAATGAGTCCTCAAGAATTTAATGGGGCATGTTGTTATGTTAAAGTTATGAATTGTTTCTTGGAGGTTCCAAATGTTATTAGTGTATAAAAGCTTTGGGAAGAAAATCATTTAGCTGTATGAAATGCAGCAGTTTGTAAATTTATTCAACTGAGGACCCCATTTTTCACAGTCCAATTATTAACATTGTGAAAAATACACATTGTGAAATACTTTGGAAGAGTAGTCAAAGGCTGAAGTTAGAAATTCCTGGATAAAGGTAGCACAAGTGAAATTTATAAATACAGTTAAATTTAGAGATATTCCAATGGCAGAAAGTAGAGTGTTCCATTAAACAAGTGTTTGCTAAGTACTCTCTTCACAGAGATGTCAAGCCAAACATGGCTTCCTGTTTTGAAAGTTTTTCTGGAAAAAGACATTTGAAAAACATTGGAAGTCTAGGAAAGACAAGGCTCATGCGGAATGGTCACAACTGTTGGTCATATTTCTAAGAACTACCATTCACAGAAGGGACAGTATAAGTGGTACACACTAGAATTATGTAGTATAACCCCTATACAAAAGAACCTAGTGGGCTTGATGCGAAACATAATAGGAATAAACATTTTCTATGTTTAAAGAGGAAAGGTGAACAAATTCATTATGTGAAATCTGTGAATACTTTGTAGAGGAAGGAACATTGGAGGTGAATCATAGAAAATGAGCAAAACATGGCTAATAATTTCGTTTTAGTGGGATTGTAATAAATCTGATAGACTAGAAGTATGGTGTCTTTATTAGCTAAAGTGAGGATGTTAAGAATGGCATTTAGGACCAGCGCCGCGGCTCACTAGGCTAATCCTCTGCCTTGCAGCGCCGGCACACCAGGTTCTAGTCCCGGTCAGGGCGCTGGATTCTGTCCCGGTTGCCCCTCTTCCAGGCCAGCTCTCTGCTGTGGCCCAGGAGTACAGTGGAGGATGGCCCAAGTGCTTGGGCCCTGCACCCCATGGGAGACCAGGATGAGTACCTGGCTCCTGCCATCGGATCAATGCGGTGCGCTGGCCGCAGCATGCCGGCCGCGGCGGCCATTGGAGGGTGAACCAATGGCAAAGGAAGACCTTTCTCTCTGTCTCTCTCTCTCACTGTCCACTCTGCCTGTCAAAAAAAAAAAAATGGTATTTAGAAAGGGATATTCTCTTAAAAATAAATTCTGATTTTAATAAATTCCTGCCATGATTGTAATTCATTGGAAATTACAATGTTGATAATTTGGAGGGTTATAAATATAAGTCATGAAAATGCTCATAGTGGATTTGTAGTTTTGTGTTTGCTGTGGATTTTCTGTGACCCATATGACAAGGATCGAAAAGTGAAAAGAATTCATTTAAAAGATTCATAAATTATCATTCAAGAAAACCCATGTACAAGCTGCTCAATGGTGTAGGATCTCTGCCCTGCTACCCAGTCCCACCCAGGAGTCCAGTTCTTTGAGAGAGAGGCTTCATTGCTAATTATCATTATTATTATTCACCAGTGAGAAAGCAAGAAAATATGTACTCAATCTGCCTCCCTGCCTGGGCGGGGCGGGGTAGGGAAAACTATTGATTGTGTAGGAGAAAGCTGGTATGAAGAAGTGCCCAACATGGCAGATCTTGATTGGAGATATGTGGAATCAGGCAGGCAAGGGAAGATGGACTTCTAATTCCAGATTTCTGTGTTTGAGAGACTCTGCTTCTGAAAGAGATCCTGTGTACTCACATTCCTGTGTTGCTGTGGGTGCGTTCCTTTGGTCAGATTCAGCCTCTACACATGCCCAAGTCCAAAATTTGCAGTTCTCTGCTTTAGGTTTACACTGTGTGTGTGCGGCCATTTCCTAAGAAGCAAAGACTTAAGATCCACTCTTAAAGCATAAAATGGAGAAACTTTCAGGAAACAAATGGGGACCCAGAGGACAGACATCTGGCACAGTTAAGATGCTGCCTGCAATACCTGCATCCCATATCACAGCACCTGAGGCTGAGTCCTGGGACCACTCCCTATCCCAGTTTCCTACTGATGTATTGGCACCCTAGGAGGCAACAGATGATGGCTCAAGTACTTGGTTCCCTGCCACCCATGAGAGAGACGTGGATGGAGTTCTAAGCTTTTGTCTTCAGCCTGGCCCAGCCCTGACTAGTATGGCATTTGGGGAATGAACCAGCAGATGGAAGATCTCTAGATCTCTTTCTCTTCCTGTTGCTGTCTGCTTCTTTCAAACAAAATAAAAATAAACAAATG